CTTTTTTTTTTTTTTTTAATGTTTATTTATTTTTTGAGACAGAGAGAGACAGCGCATGAACGGGGGAGGGGCAGAGAGAGAGGGAGACATAGAACCGGAAGCAGGCTCCAGGCTCCGAGCCATCAGCCCAGAGCCCGACGCGGGGCTCGAACTCACGGAGCACGAGATCGTGACCTGAGCTGAAGTCGGACGCTTAACCGACTGAGCCACCCAGGCGCCCCAGAGTCACATTATTTCAACCAGGCATCCCAGTCACCCTCCTGCAGGAATGGGCCCCAGAGATAAGAGGCCCGGTCCTAACTTGGCTCAGGGGTTGTGGGTTGGGGAGGTACAGGACTCTTCATGTTTCCATGGAGAAGGAAAGGAGAGTCCCCCACCCCACCATTTGTAAAGTGAAGGAACAGAGACCTCCCTCTCCCTCTTTATCTGCTGCTTTTATACCTTTGATACTCAAAACTTACCTTGTCCAGGAAATTCATCCCTACCAAATATAAATAATTTGTATCCACACTGCCTCTCCAGCACCTCGGGCAGAATCTTCAACACCAGTGTGTCCACCTCATGACTCTGGATTTCTCTTTGGGGCTTGGGGTACAAGACATAGGCATCATACAGCTTCCCATCTGAAAAGGAAATGAGATACAGTCGTGGGATTATTCCTACCACATTCTTTTATGCTAACACGGCAAAACTCTGAGCTGCTACCCTGACATCCTTCCCTTGGGCTCATTGACTTTGGAGTGCCAACTGGCTGGCTCAGTGCCAAGCACTGCCACACCAGGCAACTCTCATTCTTTCAGGGCTTGAAACGTTCCTCTTCACTGTCTTTTGCTTGTGTCGTTTCTGAGGGCAGGTTGAATGAAGCGCACATCTTTGTTTCTTGACAGGTGAGGTGTTTTTTTCGTCTGGCTTCTTTTAGGATGTTTGGATTTTCTTGTCTTTGATCTTCTACAGTTTGAAAATGATAGGTCTAGGTGTTTCTTTGTTTCTTTGTTTGTTTATTCTGCTTGGTACTCTCAGAGGTGTCTGACATTAATTCGGGGAAATTCTCAGTCAGTCGTGTTTCAGATATTTATGTTCCTTTCTCTCTTTCTCCTCCTTTGGTATTCCCATTACACTTATGTTACACCTTCTGTGGTAGTCCCACACTCGTTGGATATCTTCTTTTTTTTTTTTTTTTTCAGTCTTTGTTCTCTAGCTTTTCAGTTTCAGAGGTTTCTAGAGTGATATCCTCAAGCTCAGAGATTCTCTGCTCAGCCATATCCACTCCACTAAGAAGCCCATCAGACGCACTCTTCATTTTTGTTACAGTTGTTTGTTTGTTTTTAATTGCTAGCTTTCTTTTTGGTTCTTTTTAGGATTTTCTTCTCTCTGCTTACATCACCTGTCTGTTGTTACATGCTGTCTGGTTTTATCCATGAGATCCCTTGGCATACTAATCAGGAATATTTTATTTTATTTTTTATTTTTATTTTTTTCAATATATGAAGTTAATTGTCAAATTGGTTTCCATGCAACACCCAGTGCTCATCCCAAA